ATATTCTGGCTCATCTGGAGGCATGCAGCTTTAAAACTGTACCACAAATATAAATAATAATAATGATATCTTTAAGTCAAAGAATCATCAAGCAAGAAAAAAAATATTATAATAATATTGAAAATAAATATAAAGGAATGTTTAGGCAATAGAGGTATACATGTACATTATCATAATGAAATCAGGTAACACTATAAAAACAAAACAATAAGTAACATTTTAGTCATTGGGGAAAAAAAGTTTTCTCAAATCTTACCACTCGTAATACAACTTTGACATTTTAAAACAAATAAAATATTGAAAAAATGGATTTCTTACTTTACACCGAGTTATATTAAGTGAGATCTTTTCAATGAAAACAAATTAAATTTGCAAATGAATGTCCGTAAAACAATTTTTTTGTGAACTGCACACATTGCTTTTTTTCATAATCTATACATGCAATAAAATATTTACAAAGTAAACCTGTAAGGCAACATATTTAGTCTTCATTAAATGGACTCTTTTTTTCTGGTTGATTTAACGTTGTACCATATGGCGACTAAAAAATTATTTTCCAGCTAAATTACTGGAGGAGAAAGACCTGAGTACCCTTTATAGATTTATTCAGGCACAAACGGGCACCTTAGTTAGGAACCACCGGCGTTCTGTAAGCTCCAGCCTCCACTACGGTTTCTTGAAATGACGCCTGGATTTTTTTTTCAAGATTTTTGTACCATTTTACAATGTTTTAAAAGGCCATTGACCAATAACTTAATTGTGTGCAAATATTCAGATTATTTATGTTCAATCACAACAAAAGTGACCTACACCGACAAGTATCGAACCCAGGTTGCCCGATTCACATTCCAACGCTCCACCTATAGTTGAGCTAACCACGGTCAGCTCTGACATATCTTTAAACTAATTTAAGTAATTACTGCATCTGACACTTAAATTGTTCACAACATTATCTGTTTGTCAAACTAGAAATGTGTCCATAGGACAGGGATGCCCCCACACGCCATTGTTCTGTCAATCTTATGACTCTAGGTCAAATATTTTTTGGACTACATGTGCCACAAGTTGAAAACTAAAAATCAACAAAGGGCCATAATTCTGTTAAATTTGCTCGCAGCAAAAAGTCCTTCCTTTACTACCATCTACACATTAAGGTTGTTAATCCCTGGAAGTTTAAGCAAAATCTGCAATCCGGTTTTAAGAGGAGTTGCGTTCACAAAATTTCTACATAGTAAATAATAAAAAAATCAAATAAGGGCCATAATTCTGTTAAATTTGGTTGCAGCAAAAATTCCTTTCTTTATAAAACTACCATCTACACTAAAGGTTGTTTCATTCCCTGGAAGTTTTAAGCAAAATCTGCCATCGGTTTAGAGGAGTTGCATTTCACAAAATTTCTACATAGTATATAGTGAAAAAATCAACAAAGGGCCATAATTCTGTAAAATTTGGTCGCAGCCAAAAAAATTCTTTTCCTTTACTACCATCTACACCTAAAGGTTGTTCACCCTGTAAGTTTAAGCAAAAATCTGCCATCCGGGTTTTAAGAGGAGTTGCGTTCACAAAATTTCTACATAGTATCTAGTTAAAAATCAACAAAAGGGCCATAATTCTGTCAAATTTGGTCGCAGCAAAAATTCCTTCCTTTACTACCATCTACACATTAAGGTTGTTCATCCCTGTAAGTTTAAGCAAAATCTGCCATCCGGTTTAAGAGGAGTTGCGTTCACAAGATTTCGGGACGTACCGACTGACGGACGGACAAGTGCAACGCTATATGCTCCCACATTGTGGGGGCATAAAAAGTAGAATAAACCAAGACACCATTATTTTTTCTGAAAACAACTATTAAGTAGTAATTTGAAAGAATCACAGAGAATTTATAAAAAAATATAATATTATAACATGATGAATACAATGTATATATTAAATATAAAACAAATATTTATTTTGCATATTTTAAGTAGACAAAAAAATTATTTGTAGGTGAATATTGCTGTAAAGTCTTAAAGCGGCCTTCAGCTTTTCTAACAATTAAATATGTTAATTTAAGATAAATCATTTCATATATTGTCCATGGAAATAAAATCTCTCGGATATAAAATTTGAGAAATAAAAATAAATGCATTTTTTAGGCATAATGTGCCTTTAATGGTGTCCATGAAAGAGTGAGACGGCAAAAAAAATGTAAACCTAATGTGAAGCTGACAAAATTCACTGGTACCGGGTCAGAAGAACATATAGTTATTTAATTATGTAAAATAAAAACATAATTTGTCACAATTATATTGCTTTACTAAAACCAAAATTAAAGAACAAAAGACAGCTTATAAAAAAATAAAATATAACAATAACATTATTTACATAAATAACAAATACATATTACTCTTACATATGATATCCAACAACTTTATTTGATAGTAAATGTGAAAACAAAACAAAAATACAACTTAAAGTAATGATGGAGTTAGAATAGTCCTAATAAATACAACTTTGCTTTGTTGTGTATACTTACTTCTAGGCAAAACAAACATGAACTATAGCAGAACATAGGTCATTTATTTTGGACTTAAGAGTTGAAATAACCCTAATACCCTGCTGTAGTCTTAATTTGAATTTGGAACAGTCCATTTTCATTTAGAGGGATTTCAATATCAAAACTAAAACAGAAGTTAATCATGTAGTGTACATAGTACACAAATTCTATGTGCTGACACCGCTCTAAATACTAGTAGAAAATGTCTGCACTTTTCTCTGTTAGTCCTGGAAGAGTTTAATACACTGAACCTTGACTAAATAGAGGATATTGAATGAGTGTAAGTTTAATACTGAATTTATTGAACAAGTTGAATAAAATCATATTAAACGAGCCTCTGGCGAGCATGATATAATTTTATTAAACGAGTTCAATAAATTCAGTAATGAACCTACACAAATACAGTATTCTGTTTATCACATACCTAAAATAAAGACTGTTTAAAGTAAAGTGCAAAACAATCATTTTTCAATGATGCGCCTAAAGTGTAACATTATAATAGCATGTCTTTACACTATGTTTGTATAACATAAATGACGTCATGTCAAAATATATGCATGGCCGTGCAATACCATTTTTACGGAGTTGCAAAATTGGTACGGGTATGTGATTAAATAAATAATATACAAATGTAGTTTAATATGAAAATATATGGTCACGAAACATACTACAGTTTATCTGTTGATAGTCAAGGCTATGCATTTCGCCCCTTTCCCCTTTCTTGGACAGCATTAATGTATCAAGACTTTTCAACATTTTGTATAACCCAAATATTGGTTTGAAACAAGAGCACCACATGCGATGTTGAACGCTCACCTGTTAAGGGCAACAATAATCAATAACAAATTTTGACAAACAAATCGGACACATAGATATTGCTATTTAATGAAGCCCTAAATGGCTTGTTTTCTCGTCATAAATTTCTTTGACTGATAAATATTAGAAACTTAAGCTGTGTAATATCCATTTATAAATCACCAAAATATTCAAAGTGATAGTTAAGTGAATGATATAAATGTTATATCATGTACCATAAAAATATATGAATATGGCTTACTGTAAGAACATAAGAAATATTTTTACAAGTTACAACCTGACATCTGCCTATTTGGCATCTCCTTACTATCTTTTCCTAAATCTTGCATTTGAATTTCAACATTTGTATCGGGATCTTTCATAGCGTCTTGTCTTAAAAGATGAGCCGAATGTTGCGATGATTGGGACCGAGGCGGCCCTGGTCTATTCACGGCCCCCTCAATGTTTTCATTATGGTTTACTGCCTTGTTATTTTGTGGCACTACAGTGTTATCCATCTCATCCTGTTTTTCAAATGTCACATGTTTATGCTCATTTTCATGATTTTTAACTGATGCAGTTTTGTTATTGTTTGTAAGTAACGGTTTTCCCTCTTGTTGTTCATCTTCCACTTCGAAAACTGTATCTTCTAAGCCGAATACGGGCGGTGATGACACCTTGTCTGAACTTACTGATTGAAGTGGCGAATAATCGACAGTCTTTGCTCGTCCCGCACGCAGGTTTAGTTTCAAGTCCGACGAACGTCTTGTCGCCAAGTCCGTTTTGTCCTCGTCCCATGACAATGCTCGTTGTACTTTCGGTGTGAAATTGCTTAGTCGTTGATTTTTCTTGTACTTGTGTCGGAGATGACTAACCATGTTACGTTTCTCGTCTGCCACAAAGTTCTTGTCGTGATAATGCAAGCCAGTTCTCTGTTAAAAATATAGAAGTTAAATGTTAATTTCTTTAAACCATGTAAATACTTAAATGAGCCGTGTCATGACAAAACCAACATAATGGGTTTGCGACCAGCATGGATCCAGACCAGACTATGCATTCGCTCAGTCTGATCAGGATCCATGCTGTTCGCTATCAGTTTCTCTACTTGTAATAGAGTTGGTTAGCAACAGCATGGATCCTGATCAGACTGCGTGGATGCGCAGGCTTGTCTGGATCCATGCTGGTCGCAAACGCACTATGTTGGTTTTGTCGTGACACGGCTTAAATGATAATTGTGTCGATAATTCTAAAAAGGTAAATCAGACATCATACAGGTGAGTTCATCAAAAAGCTCCAGGTATGTCTACAATTTCTTGCATGATAAAGAAATAATTTTGTAATCCATGGTTACAAGTAAGTTTCAAATATGTCAGAATCAACAAAATAATCCATTCATATGAAAGGGTGCAAATTCACTTGAATGTATTTTAATTAACAATTTAATAATCTAAAGTTGTCAATATGATTTGCACTAGACAACTTTAAAACCAAATTCCTCACATTAAAGGGACTCCACTGAAGTTTTTTGACATGACGGGACTGGGAATAACTTTTTAAGATTAATGTACCATTTGATGAAGGTCTACACCAATTACTTGTGTGCAAAATTTCAGATCATTTGCTCACTCCATTTTTCCAGAAAAATAATTATTATAATTGTGAAAAATGGCCTAAATTAACCTGGAATTGGGCTAAGAACAGCACAAAGACATGATTTTCAATTCCTTTCTGAGAATATTTTTAAATTATCTATTTTCAGTGCCCCTGATTTGATCTTTGTAAGAAATCATATTTTATGTTTTTAGGCTTGTGGACCTCAGTGGAGTTCCTTTAAAGTAACTGTGCAGTTCCTTTAAAGTAATGAAAATTAAATGTAAATTAATTTTGTATCATATTATTTCCAAGTCTGCCATGTATTATCATAAATTTGCTGTTAGTCAGAGGATTCAATTGTTCTTTATGATATTGTTACATACTCTATAATAAAAATACATGTAGAATTTATACTGAAAATACATACATGTATATGAATAACAGTTTATAATTAAGAATATATAAACATTATTTTTAACACATAAACCAAATTAATGATAAATAATGTTTGCTTAAAGTTAAGTGTAGATTAACAACAATTTCATAGTTATATTTATTCATTTATTCATTAAATGTTACATATTTACAAGATACTATATATTGTATACTGTAGTCTAATTTAATGTTACTAAATAAATTTTCTGTAACAACAATTTGTTCATATAGATGAAGTTTGGACATGTGATAAATACACTTTGCAGGTTTGTTAGTAGAATTTAATTCGGGGAATCCCTTAATGATTTTTAATTTGTATTGCAAATTTTTAAAAATCATGCATAAACATTTTAACTTAAATCAAAAACTGTTAGTATCATGTCAGAAACAAAATTGTTAGTTATTAATTGCAAAAGCATCGTTCAGTTCTGAAAGTAATAAGAGTTATTTCTCCCAGATTATTTTATTTATTTCACAAAAAGTTTTCATTAACCAAAGAAAAAATAATGCTTAGAAATAGGTGAAAAATGGAAATAACTTTGGTAAAATTGACAAAACTATAATTCTTCAAATAGTCAAGTGAAAAAAATCTAACTGTTAAAACAAGTGATTAAGATTCTTCTGTATTTGACTTAAAGGTCATGTATTGGTTTTCAACCTTTTTTCAAAAATTTCTCAAATTTTCAAAAATGCTGTATAAAATATTTTTCAATTCAAGCCAGGGACCTTTTCAAAAAGGAGTGGGAATTTGGCTTGGCATTGGGATTTTTGCACAAAATAACCAGCACACAATAAAGTAAATTTTCTTTTTCTAAATTTTCTAAATTTGTTAAAAATTACCATTTCATTTTATGTTATAATAAAAAGCATTTTTCATCACTTTTTCAGTTAGCTAAAGCAGCAGATGTTAGTTTACAAAATATAGTGATACCATAAGAAAAATGTTAGTAATTTTAAAACATTCATTATATATATTATTAGGAAAGAAAATTACATTATTAGTAAGGTACAGAAACTTTAGACAGGTTATATGACCAAATTTAAATGGTTATATGTTTGTATAACCTAAGCCACTTTTAAGGCAAGAGTCATAATAACAAACAACAATTTATAAAAGACCATATATCATGTCAAAGTCTTGGTTATGCATTTTAAAGTTAATATACTGCACAATTATTTTTTATGTGGAAAATAAAAAAAATATATGAACAAAATTTAGATTCAGAGCAGCGGTGTATATGGGTGATATAAACATTTAAGATTGTCCAATGAAATTCTATGTTACAAAAACAGTGCAGTATAATATTCATTTAGGAATAAGCTTTTCCTTCATGATTTTAGAGTTAAATATTTTAAGGTATATATAACTATTTACCATGTAATCCTGAGATTAAACAAAAACTTATTAAAAATATGTACTAGATCTACATTAAGTTTCAAACATCTGACAAAATATAATTTTCGAAAACGGCAGTTATAAAAGTTTTAATTATTAGAGAATTGTCACATATAATGATAAATTTTAAACTTAATTTTTTTTTATATAAAATTCTTAATATAAAAATGCTAAATAAAAAGCATCTATAAATGCTTTAACTAACTTGTGAAGCTTATGTTTTTAGATACAAAGTATTTTCATTATTACTGAAATAGTAGTTGAACTACCTTTTTTTCTTATTACAGAAATACAATTTACAGTTAAATGTGAAACTGCCACAATTCTAATTTTACCCTTAACCAGCTTATTGGACTTGTCCAGTTTCTATTTCTGGATCTATTCATTACCAATTTTGGGGATATCAAGAAAAAAAAATTTTTTTTCACTCAGACATTACTGTTTAGAGTCTGGACAGACAGCATGGCACGGCAGAGCAGGCTGGCCTGATCTTATACTAGTGACAAAGGGTTCCCACTTGTGGTTCCAGCAGGTTAAGGATTAAAAATCAAGTGAATTGTGACAATTTTGTGTCAAATCTATAAATAGCTGACCTAAATTTATTATCCTAAAATAGCATCAAAACTTCAAAGTTTTCTAAGAGATGCTAATGATATATTAATTTTTCTAATTAAAAAAAAAATGTGTGTGTCTGCTAATAAAATCCTTTGAAGTCCAGAACGAAATTCTTCAATGACCATTTCACCAAAATTTCCATAAAACAAAAATTTTACATGAAAATTTGAAAACAAATCACCAATTTTGCTTTTCATGATAATCGATTTCTCAACAAAGTTTTCAACAAAAAACTTATTATTCACCAAACACTTCTGTAAAAATCTGATTTTTCAACAGAACAGCTACTGTCTGTGTAAATATATATATTCTTGAAGTCTTCCATGAAAATTTGAATATTAACCAACAGTTTCTGTAAAAAAAAACTCAGTGAAAAACTCAATATTCATATTGACTGACTTATACCATACAGTGTACTTAAAATTTCACTCTCCAAACCAAAATGGAATTTTTTCCTGTAAACAACAGTGAACACACACATTTTTTTCAATCTACATGTATCTACATTTAAAACATTTTTATGTATCACCCACAGGAAATTTATCATCTAAAATCCCAATTTTAGGTGTAAGTTCTGGCTAATATATGGGATATACTTACATTTTCAAACTAAAATATATGAATACAAACACATTAAGACATTGTTTATTCTCTAAAAACAAAGAACAAATCTACAAATTTTGATGCAAAAATGGTGGCAACTCTTTATTTTCTTCTTTATGACAAATAACAACCATCTTTGCCAAGCCCTGCCCCCAATGATGTCTTAAACACCAAGCCCCACACCCATGATGTCATGGAACATCAAGCCCTGCCCTCATGATGTTGTCATAGAACACAAACACCTGCTCCCATGATGTTGTCATAGAACACCAAGCCCCACCCCCAATGATGATGTTGTCATAGAACACAAACCCCTGCCCCAATGATGTTGTCATAGAATACCAAGCCCCGCCCTCATGATGTTGTCATAGAACACAAACCTCTGCCCCAATGATGTTGTCATAGAATACCAAGCCCCACCCTCATGATGTTGTCATAGAACACAAATCCCTGCCCCAATGATGTTGTCATAGAATACCAAGCCCCACCCTCATGATGTAGTCATAGAACACCCAGCCCACTCCCATGATGTTGTCATATAACATAAAGTTCAGCCCCAATGATGTTGTCATAAAACACCAAGCCCTGCCCCATAAAAGAAATTCATACAAAAAGAACCAATAATACAAAATTAATTATCAAACTATAACTATTTTATATATTAACTAATAACTTCCTTACAAAGAAAAGAAAAGCAAATTACTTAAAGGGACTCCACTGAGGTTTTTTGACATATTGACTGAGGAATGTTTTTCAAGATTTCTGTATCATTTAATAAAGGTTTGGACCAAAAACTTGTGTACAAATTTTAATATTATTCCCTGAACTCAGGTTATTCAACAATAATCATTTCTTTGTATAAAATGACTCAATAATGAAAAATGTTTTAATGCTTTGAAACTAAAATCAAGCTCAGAATTGCAGACACAAAAAAAAAACAATAAATTTAGACTTATTTTAAGTATAAATCTTATTTTTTTTCTTCATATTTTTCTGTTTTAACTGGCTCAATTCAACATGTAAGAATTACAAATTTTATGTTTTTTGACTTTTGTACCTCAGTGGAGTTCCTTTAACTATAACATAAAAGCATAAAGACTATCAGAATAATATTTGATATTTTGCCATGCTGAAGAGTAAAATACATAAAACTTCTTAAAGATGAAAAGATACGAGAAAACAAAACATTCTTCACAGAAACAAATTTTACAAAATTTTACAAAATTTATTGTAGCAAGAGTACTGTCAAACTTTCAGTAATATACAAGTATATTAGCCCTCTGCCTGCTGAATTTCTAATATGGACTTGTCCAGTTTCTATTTATGATACCGTCCATTATAAATTTTCGGAATATCCAAATAGAAATTTTAAAAAAGCCTCAGTCAACAGTATATATTTTTTTTTGGTGGGTTTTATGTCACACCAACACAGTATAGCTGGTTAGCTTACATGAAAGAATCCACAGTCCCTGTCATTACACAAACCCACAACAGTGAAGGGCAAGTGGTTTTAAGACAACGACCTTAACCATTTGACCACTAACGCCCAGTCAACAGTAAAGAACCTTGTCAGAATGCACAGATGGGCAGGCTGGCCTAGCTCTATACTGGTGGCAAAGGCTTTATAAATATCACTTGATTGTCCCAGCAGGGTAAGAGCTAATATCATATGACACATTATTGTACAGTTTATACCTGTCTTGAAGACACCATGGCACTTCTAAACAATTTCTTCAAATCAATGCCCTCTGGTCCCTCGGCCTCCTTCATTGATTTTTGTGACACTAAACGATGCCTCCTCATCTCTATCTCTTCTGTAAACACAAACAAATACATACTCATGATTTTAATTCATTCTTATGGCTTATCAATTCATATCACTGAACATTTGCCTTAAACTAGACTAATAAGTACAAACATCATTCTATACAACAATACGTTACTATACTGTATAATTGTTTAATTTTGAGACATGGAAATATTTGAGATTTTTGCGAATTGGAATTATTTGATCCCCCAAAAATTATTTCTGTTTAGACAAACTTTCTTATATCATTTGATATTTTCACATTTTCATACAGCATCTTACATGAATTAGTTTTACTGTTCATGTACCATATCCATTTATACAGTATACATTTTACTTAAAGTGATATTATGCCCATCCAAGGGAATATAGTGAGTGAACAGGAGAAAGTAAAAATAAAGTTTACATTTCCACTGTAATTCTTTCAATTTTGTAATTTCGCATAAACAAATGGCTAAACAAATTTTCTGTAAATATCCATCAAGATTTACATGTAACTTTCAATTTATAAAAAGTAGGGCAGTCTTTTTATATTTTAGGCAGATTCATGTTTCAGTCCTAAACATTTTCCAATATCAACTGTTGGTCAATCACCATTATAACAATCAATCTTTTGAAATAAATAAGTTAATTCAGGTCAACTTGACTATGACAAAATAAGCATTATGTCACTTTAAATAAAGGATAAGTATAGTAAAATGTATTAAAAGTATAAAATATGTACCATCTCTCTCCAGTGCTCGTTGTTCGTATTCGTCATCCATTCCCTTCAAACACACAGAGCTGTCTATCTGCCGTCTGCAAATATATGACATAACTAGGATATCATATAAACTAGGATGTCATATAATTAATAATAATATGTATGTACAATGTGTTTGTGTTACACATTCTGTTTGTTTGTTTGCTGGTTTATCTAGTTTTTATGCCAATTTAAAACCCAATGTTTTTGGTCATATCTTGCCAGTCGATGCACCTAACATGTGTTCCTGGATAACTAACTAGTAACTACTAATTTCTTAATATTTTCCCATTTATAGTTCACCTAAGCCTGGAAGTCCTTCATTTTAGATAAGATAAGATACAAATAAAAATAACATAATTTTTTGTAAAACAACTTAATTTTTCTATTATAATAAAGAACTTTGCTGCAATTAAAAAAACTACACATACTTAATTCTTACATTTCTGGTATTCTAGGTCTTATTCTGTTCATACATTTATTAAATGTTAATCAGTCAGAAAAAGTAGAACTGGATTTTACCACAGTGCTATTTACAACTCCAGATTCCATGTCTAGAAAAAGTACTTACAAATCTGATTCAACCCTTGGTAGATTTGACACTCCACAGAGCCGCAGATTTTTGTAATGTTCCCTGAAAAAGATGGAAATAAAATGTGTTTTAAGCACTGAATAACAATAATAATAAGACAAAATGTTCATTACATAAAATATCAGTGTACAAGACTTTCCTATACCATGGATTCAAAGCCAAGCAGTCCCAGGTCTGATATAACTTTTGGCTACTAAATTTTAGCATTTTGGTATTCAATGTCTTTAGTCCAAAAATAAAAGCACAATAAGCCCATGTCACAGCTTTGCAAAGAGTGTGATAGCGCCTTATTTAATGCACAAGACTTGTGATAGCGCCTTATTTAATGCACAAGACTTGTGATAGCGCCTTATTTAATGCACAAGACTTGTGATAGCGCCTTATTTAATGCACAAGACTTGTGATAGCGCTTTATTTAATGCACAAGACTTGTGATAGCACCTTATTTAATGCACAAGACTTGTGATAGCGCCTTATTTAATGCACAAGACTTGTGATAGCGCTTTATTTAATGCACAAGACTTGTGATAGCACATTATTTAATGCACAAGACTTGTGATAGCGCCTTATTTAATGCACAAGACTTGTGATAGCGCCTTATAAAACCGACAAGACTTGTGATATTATAACGTTTCTTTTACACGTCAAATGTGGCGTCTATTAACATAGACATCAGTTTAGTACGGTTACGTCATTTCCTTCATGTATCAACTGACGGAGCTAAGAAAGCGAAACATGTATTGATATCTAAAAATGTATTGGTTTTGATCTATTGTCCTAGATATTATGTAGACAAATACTTACTTCATCACAAGTTTCTCATAATAATTACTAATCTCAATCCCATCACACTTTGTTGGGTCCCTGAGTAACCGTGGTCTGATAAAACGATCATCTAAACGGTCAAACTTTTCCTGTAAAACAAAAGTCAAAAACTTGAACATCTTTATAAATATTTCATGATACCATTGCATGTCTAACGCCGCCACATCTACAAGTCAAACAAGAATTCATCAACTTTATGTTTCCTTGAAACTTTAATGGAATCTACATTTGATTTTCGATTATCGTTGTAAATGCTAAAATATATAATAAGACAACACTATGATTTTGTAGACATTTAAATTTGGTGGCACGCACTAGCTCGAAGGAAGTTATAGAGCGATTTATCATATACCACTAAAAGAGATAGCTCTGTTGTTTACTATCCTTTGCAGATTTTCCATTTTAAGTGTTTCACTTAACCTATATAAGAATTTCAAATTCTATATTTTAGGCTTTTTACCTCAGAGGACCTGTTTTAACAATATGTTGCAATGATGTTAGGGAGAACAGTATTGCCCAAGTATATACTGCTTGAAAAGTTGAGCTTAATTGCCATACTGTACAGATTTTTTTGGGGTTTCATCAACAAAATCTTTAATACTTTTATTTTGCAATATATGCCACCAGCCAATACTCATATACAGAATATACATTCAAATAATATACATAAAGTGAATCAATAATAACCATCTTGATAGTTTTTGATAATATGTTATATAATGTGTTATAACGAAAATATATAAAATTATGTCTTCTAAAATATATACGTACCCTCAAAAGATATTTTCCTGACATGCCTACAATCTCCTCTATACCTGCCATCAGATGATCGGATACCTGACATTAAAATACAACTATTTATTAAAAAACCTCTATTTCATGAAGCTAAGGTACATAACTGTGGAAAATGATGTAAAACATAGGACAATTGTATACTAATAATAAGAGCTGTTGGTAAGACAGCATGGTCAACTTTTTTCAGTTTTTGATAGAACAAGAATCTTGATAATGTAGAATTTTTTTAAGTTCAAAAGGAGCCATAATTCTTTTAAAACAAGCAATTATCATAGTATTGCAAGCAATCCATAAGTCCCCTACCGGTAAAAGCCCAAGCAACATTCTGAAGGGCCATTGGCCATTCACTTATGTTTCTATTTTCAGTAAATTTGTTGAAAAAGTTCTTTAAAAGTGATTACAGGAAACAGTTTTTATGTACAGACAGACAGACAGACAGACTGAAGGACACTCTAAAGTTATTTTTTAAACATCCCTGTTATCAAAATATAACATTTTTAAAAGCAAAATTTTTAAAAAGGAGATAACGATGTCATACATGATGTGAGTGTAACAAAGAACAAATTATTAGTAATGAAGGTATGAATATTGAATGTTTATTTTGAATTTGAAGTAAATGAAAGTTAAAAGAACGAATAGGAAAAATTAAAAGTTTAAGGAGGAGATAATTCTGGAAATATGGATGCTAGATTTATAAACTTTGTCATATTATTATGATGTGGGAGTTTGAAGAAAATCCTATCATGATTGAAGAAGTTGGAGTAAAAATTACCAATTTCTCAAAAAAAAGTCTAAGTTCAAAAGGGGCAAAATTCTGGAAATAGTCTTGCTAGAGTATTGAACACTCACAAATGTTGAGTGATAATAAGAAACATTTATATGAAGTTTGAAGTAGATACATTCAGAAAAAAAGAAGTTATTAAAAAAAACAATGTTTTTTTCATGAAAATTTTAAGTTCAAGGGAGGTAATTCTGATAAATTTTAAGCTAGAGTTGTAAAACTTGTCACATATGATGTTGTTGATGACTAGCAACTTATATTTAAAGTTTGAAGAAAATACCTTAAGAAATAAAGAACTTATAGTGAAAAAACTTAAAAACTAGAATCAGAAATCTTGAAATTCAGTCTATTTGTTGCCATAGCAACCAGAATATTCAACATAGGAAGATAATAAAAGGATGTGCATAATTTCCATACTGCCATCTACCCATATGTCAAGTTTCATAAAAATATTTTTAGTACTTTTTGCGTTATCACTGGATCCTGGTTATGTGTAAAATTTGCCATATTTTCAGTCTATTTGTTGCCATAGCAACCAGAATTTTCAGCATAGGAAAAAAAGAAAAAGACATGCATAATCTCCATACTGCCATCTATCCATATATCAAGTTTCATAAAAATATTTTCAGTACTTTTTACGTTATCGCGGGATCCAGGTTATGTGTAAAATTTGCCATATTTTCAGTCTATTTGTTGCCATAGCAACCAGAATTTTCAACATAGGAAGAAAAGAAAAAGACATGCATAATCTCCATACTGCCATCTATCCATATATCAAGTTTCATAAAAATATTTTCAGTACTTTTATCGTTATCGCGGGATCCAGTTTTGTGGACGGACGGACTGCTGGACGGACATTCCTACGAATGGTCATTTATTGGGTACTGTTTTTGTTTAAAAGTACCCAATAAGACAACAAAAGTACCCAACAATACTGACGGAATGAATAGAATTACCCAACAAGTGTCCATTCGTGTGTTCAAGGTACCCAACAAGTGTCCTTTCGTGCGCCCGGACAGACGGACGGACTGACGGACAGAGGGTAAACCTAAAGTCCCCTCCGGTAAACCGGTAGGGGACTAATAAGGGCCTTAGACAGTAATAAAGCTTATTTTGACCTTTCTAAAGAAGAAAAAACGTATTTGTTTCTGAGGAATAATATGCCTTTAAAGCTATGTTATATAGATAGTATATAAATGTATTTACATGCTGATTAAGTTCTTGATAAAGGATCATATCTTTTGATGAATCTTGTAATGACACTCTCATCTTCTTTACCAACCATTTAATCGTCCCACCCTGTAACATAATAACTGAATTTTATATTAAATAGGTTTATAATAATTAGATTTTAAAATGTTCCCTACTATAAATGAATACTACTGAGATAGTTTCTGTCGACAGTTGTCATTTAAATTACTTGTGTAAATGCAATAGTTTCTATTCTTACTTGCGTAAATGCAGTTGTTGTTTTTATTTCTACTTGTTTAATTGATGTACATGAAGTTTTTTTTATACCTACATGTATAAATGCAGTATTTTTTTATATGACGGTATAAATAAAGTAGTTTTTAATACTTACTTGTATAAATACAGAATTCTTTTTTGGTTCTTACCTGTTTAAATGCAGTTAAGTTTTTATACTTACTTATATAAATGCGCTAGGTTTTTGTACATATGCTTTAATGCAGTGGTATTAAATGCAGTAGTTTACAGAATTACCTGTACAGATGCAAAGTTTCTATAATAACTTGTATAAATGCAGTAGTTTCAATACTTACTTGTATAAAAGCATTTGTTTATAAAGTTATTTAAACACTTACTTGTATAAACACTGTGAAAAAGATAACGAACAAGCTCGTTGTCATGAACATATTTTTCATCGGGAACTCGCCCTCATCTAGCAATGCAACCAGCGAGAAACAAACCGCCCCTCGTAACCCACCGTAACTCTGAAACAAAAATATCAACATTATTTGTACATAAATGTTCATTGTGTGACACATAGAGGATATTGAATGAGTGTAGATTTAATACTTAATTTATTGAGTTGAATAAAATCATATTATGTAAGCTTCACAAGAGCATAATATTGTTTTTGTCAAGGATTTCAATGAATTTAGTATTGAATCTACACAAATATAATATTCTATTTATCACATATCTAAAATTAGAACTGTTTACAGTTAAAAAGAGTCATTTTTCAATGAAGTGCTTATAATGTTAGGCTAACTTTAGTGCCCTTTAATAATTGTTTATATATAATGCAAATGATGTCACATCAAACTTTTATTACACTAGGATAACATCATTTTTATTGAATGGGTTTATTACACTCCTGTGACATGGTTTATGTGATAAACATATATAGAGGATATCAAATGAGTGTAGTTTAATACTAAATTTATTGAACAAGTTGAATAAAATCATATTATACGAGCCTCTGGCGAGCATTATAATATTGTTTTATTCAACGAGTTCAATAAATTTAGTACTGAATTACATAAATATAATATTCTATTTATCACATATGTAAAATAAGAACAGTAAACTGTTAGAAAGAGTCATTTTTAAATGACGTGCCCACAGTGTAACACTAACATTAGCACAATAAACGCTATGTTTCCATATAGCCCATTAATGATGTCATGTCAAAGTGTTATTACAATAGTGTAATATCGTTTTTATTAAATGGCTTTATTACACTCCTGCGCCACGGTTTATGTGATAACAAGAGCTGTCACAGGAGACTGCGAAGCTCGACTAATAAAATACTGGACGCAGTAAGGAGGACAAAACTATGAAAGAAAAATCAATTATGTATAATTATGTATTAAGTTATAGTAAAAAAATAACATTTGTTAACATAAATTCCAAGATCAAAGGGAATAATTCTAGAAATAGTCATGCTAGAGTTATGAACCTTGTCACACAACATGGGTGTAATGATAAGAAATAATATTTGAAGTTTGAAGTAGATACCTTAAAAAGTAAAGAAGTTACAATAGTTCTTAAAGAGAGATAAAGAAGTTCAAAGAGAGATAAATCTATAAATATTGCTTCAAGAGTTATGAACATTGTCACATAAAATGTAATTGATGATAAGGAATAAGTGTTTGAAGTTTGAAGTAGATACCTTTAAACTAAAAAAGTTAAAGTAAAAAATAACAGTTTTCTAGTAAAAAAATCTTAGTTTATGGGGAGATAATTCTTGCAAAATTGATGCTAGAGTTATGAACCTTGTCACATAAGATGATGATAAGGTACATATATTTGAAGTATGAAGTTGATCCCTTTAGAAATAAATAAGTAACAGTAAAAATTAATATTTTTTAAGGAAATTCTAAGTTCAAGGGGAGATAAATCTGAAAAAATTGGAGTTATGAACCTTGTCACATAAGATGGGGATGATGATAAGGTACATATATTTGAAGTATGATCCCTTACATTATGCCCATACAAGGGTATATAGTGAGTAAACAAGTAAAAGTCAGAACAAGTTTATATTTTGTTTGAATTCCTTTTAATTTTATAATATACTTTGCATGAATGATAAATTACACATGTTGCCCCCTAAAAATATCTGAATATCTACCAAAATTTACCTGAAACAGTCAATTTATAAAAAGAGTTGGGCAGTCTTTTTATATTTAAGGCAGGATATATATTCTATCCAAAACGTTTTCCAATATCGAGTGTTGGTCAATCACCATTATAACAGTCAATCTTTCGAAATATGTTGTCAATTTAGTTCAACTTGACGATGAAAATATGAGCATAATGTCACTTTAAGAAATAAAGAAGTAACAGTAAAAAATAGTATTTTTTGAGGAAAATTCTAAGTTCAAGGGGAGATAAATCTGAAAATATTGGTGCTAGAGTTATAAACCTTGTCACATAAGATGGGGATGATGAGAAGGTACATACATTTGAAGTATGAAGTTGATACTTTAAGAAATGACAAAGTTATAGTGAAAAATATTTTACTGCAACAAAACTTTAATCTAAAATCTGGACGCGGACGCAGGGGCGAGTAGGACAGCTCTCCACATACTTCGTAAAGTTGAGCTAAAAATATGTTTATCACTTAATTTATATATATAAATCATCATCTCATGCTTTGAAGTGGAGCTGTTCATTGTTTAAGTCGGGGATTTTTAATTAAAAATTGCTACATTCCAATGAACACCATTCCCCGTACAGGCCTTGACCTAGGTGACCTTGACCTTTGTCCCCAGTAGACTCTAATTAAGTAGGTCAGGCATCTAGAGCTTATAGATGAAAATGCATCTGTGAAGATTGGATTTGTAGGTAGACATGACAGGTCTCACAATTTTTGCCTTTTACACTTACTAAATTCAAGTGGAGAAGTTGCAAGCTACTTGCAGTAAGTAAAATTTGAAATTGGTATAGAATCACGGATTTATATTACAAGGATCAGACACTATCGTTTAGCTTAAAATCTCGTCGTGCGCATGCGAGGAATCGCATATCGGATAAAGGTGGACAGAATGAGAGATGGCGGAACGCGCGGAGTGCGAAATAGGACAGATTTTCACAAGAGTATGTGGTGTTATTGCAGCTTTGTGAAAATTTTTACACATATTAATGTATTGATACAGTATTATTTTGTGTCACTAAAGTATTAATATATGAGAATATTCCGATAGAACGCTGCAACGCTGAGTTAAAATAGTACCTAATTTAAAAAATATTCGCCTATTGTTTAGGCATACACTCTACACTTTGACGCCCTTTTACTTCAAGCACAAATTATTACTGCGATTCAGATTAAGATAATTATTTTCTACATGGTTTAATGGTTGCAATGCAATAAATGTTTCTTGATAGCTTAAAAACTTTTAAAGAAATTCATGTTTAAAATTTGTCTTTTTTCTGTGAATTATTTCCAAATGATTTAAACATTTTATATTTGATTACCTGAATATTAGTATAAATGTAGTATTCTACTAATTAGTGTATTAATATATTTTCAGATCATTGAAAAAAGCGTTCATAGACAATAGATGAATTCGAAGAAACTTTTATTGGCATACAGAACAGCTATATTATTTTTTATGTTGGCACGGAATTTTTTCATAGTTATCCTTCACAATTCCCGTCAAATGATTTATTTGTCATATGTTTATTTTTTCTTTTTTTTTCAACGAAATGATCTGTATATTTTCAATTTCATTAATAAATGTTAATAAAGAAAATAGATTTACATTGTATTTATATCTATCATCTTCAGAATCATTTTCTTATTATACATACAATGGACTGTAGTTAAAGACCGTGCACATACAAAATATACATTCAAATTCTATTTGTTTTTGAAGATTGATTGTTGCAATTATCACATGCAACCTGGTAATGAAAGTTTGAAAATAAAGCTTTTCAATTATCACTTGTTACCTGGTAACACGGATTTATATTATCCGTGCTGGTAATTAACCCCCTTCAAAAGTAATTAAACTTCAAAGAAATTTAAGCGATGTGTAAAAAATAATCAACAGTTACTTTTATTTCGCATAATACTGACTCAAACTGTAAAGATTTTTATTGTTTTTCTAGTGTTACATTAAAAATATCAGAAATATCTTTCTATAGGCATTCAAATAAAAGGATAATTAAAATATACAAGTGACATTAAAAAGGCCGGAATCGAGACAACCACACAAGAGTAGGGCCTACTTTACTGTTACGATGATTGTCTACTTCACTGCACCGACATTTGAAAACAGATTTACAAAAGATTATAATGATATAAATGATGATTGAAATTTAAATATTGTATGAATATGGCAATATTAAAATCTCGGCAATATTTTCTACTAAAAAAATGAATATTTTCTTCTTGTGTTGAGCGTATTGTAAAGCCCGCAATACATTACCCGTAAAACAATTGTGCGTTAATAAATTTGACTACATAACCCAATAAATCTTAAATATTGCATCTTTGATCATCTGTGAATAACTTACATTGCCTTCTTTTTTATTTTGAAATTGAATTTATTATGTTTCCATAATAATTAATTTCAAATACCTGCTTTTTATATAAAAAATGTAACTTTACCGCGGATTTCGTCAAGTTAATTTTTTACTCTGATGGTAAGAAAGGGACATGACTCGGTAAATAGGCAACTCAGAGTTTGGGACATGTGCATTCATGGTAGATAACCACAGAGAACAAGTGTGTGAAGTTTCAACCCATTCCCTTCAGTTGTTTTGGAAATACCAACTTGCCTGTAAAAAATTAACCTGTGATGAGGACGCCAACACTAATGCCAGGGGGGGGGGGAGGGGGGAGTACAATAAATCTCCCAATTCTTTGAATAGTCAAAGTTAAAAAAAGAAAAAAAGGATTCTATTTCTATAAACTGATTCATTTCAGCTTGATCATGAAAGTAATGCCCTGACCCTATAGAATAGTGGGGACCTTTGGATAATCAAACCCACACTAAGGACTCATAGAGGATAAAAAACTCTGCCCTTTTTATCGCCTATTCCTTACAAGAAGTGCATGAGCAAGAGTCACTTATTACTTACAATGACTTGTGCACTTTAGTAGAACCAATAAGCCAGCTCTCACACAACAGATTTTCAAGTCCCTATTGAGATTCATACCAACAGCAACATGGGGACAAGGGATGTTCTACGTCAGTGACTTGAGGCGCTATGCTATGAAGGCCCCAAAAACTATTCAGAATATATTATACACTTACAATAAAGAAAACTTTCACTTACTATCATGAACATTTCATCAAGTTTTATTTTACGTATTCTGTATCTATCACATCTATTGATCAGGAATGACATCACAAATGTAACTGAAACAAATATAGTAATAACGATGTGTCATAGGGTGAGAAAAATGTGCAGCCTGACCAGGACTTGAACCCGGGACCCTCGGAATACCGTTCCGCGGCTCAACAGACTTAGCAATCCTGCCGCTTACACATCTTCTCCCCTAAATCGTGAAACAGTTCTGAACCGTGACATACTCCCCTGCTATATTGAAATTCGTCCTCAAATTTCACAGAGTTACAGAGCAATGTAAATTAAACCCTGAGCTATATCAGTAACGGCCCCATGTTGGGCACCAAATGTCACAGAGTGAGAAAAATGTGCAGCCTGACCGGGACTCGCACCCGAGACCCTCAGAATACCGTTCCGTGGCTCTACCGACTGAGCTTATCCGGCCTCTTACACATGTTCTCCCCAAAATAGTGAACAGTTCTGAACCCTGACAGATGACATCTCTGTGCATTATTTCAGGCACAAACAAGCACCTGAGTAGAACCACCAACATTTGGTAAGGTAGCTGGATAACTGTCTCCCATGAAAGAATTCCAAGACACTAGCATGGCTCGAACCTACTGTGGTAAGAGGCAAATCACTTCCTAAATCTAAACATTACTGGTTTACATGAGAAATTAATATCATAACCCAATTAGGGCTCAATCTCATAAACCTTGGGGTCCTAATATCTTACCCTTTAAATAAGAGCACCACATGCAAGATTAAAGCTGGTCTTTGAAAATTCTAAACTCCCGTCCAAAAATATTTCTTTCAAAACTATGTATCTTATCTAACAACTGCACCTTGTCATGATTAGAAAATATTCCACGTTTCCTGTTGAAAAATGGGCTACATATAAGTTTTTGCATGACAATGACAACAACATCAACCACATTCTAGAAGGACCTCATTTGCAGTGATAACAATAGCTCAAACTTTTTCTTTGGAACAGACAAACTTAAAATGAGCTTAAAAATCAGTTATTTAAACTTATTCTGTTGCACTTTTGTTACATCACTTTTCATTAGATAATAATAACATTTATAGTTTTATATACACGCCTGCTGTCAATTTTTGAAGAAAAATTCACTTTTTTCTCTAAAAACTGAAGATTGCTGTATTATAAATTCGTTATTAATATTCCCGACAGGTTATATGATCGCAAATATAAATAGTTTTTTTCAATAATTATATACCTTGTCTAACAGCTCGGGTAATATTTCAAAACAACCATTTCTATAAGGCCATATAACATGTACAACCTGTCAAAAATCTTTATAACTTAAATAAATAATATATATTTATACTTACTAATAAATCTGTACAGTACACAAAGTAATGTTGTCCATAGGACAAAGCCTGTATTCCACACATGATGGGGATGTACTGTTTTCAGTCCGAGAAACAGGAAAATGATGATCTCACAGGTATTGCTGAAAAACAAACAGAAATTGTCACACACTGAGCTATTATATTTAAATTGAAATGAACTTATGATGTCATACAATTAAAATCTGTACCAAGGATTTATTATCACACAAATTCACATTTTTGCGAGATTTTCCGAGACCGTGTTTAACACAAGAAATTTTACTGATACATGTACATATATGTACACTGCCATGCTATCTAAAATGTGTTGTGGTATTCAGAGTTTTTCAAATAGAATTCTATTTGAAAGACCCTGAATCAGGTTAAGGGTTAAAGACCCTAAACTCCTGAAGAAATGTCTAAAAGCTGCACAAACTGTATTAAACAAATTTTATGGACCATATCAAAAAGGGCCACCAATCTGTATGAAAAAAACAAAAATGGAAACAAATCTTTCACTACAAGTATTATAAGAAGTGAAAAGCAACATGGTAAATTATTTATGAATCTTGGCTAAGTTTCACTGATATTAAGGAAACTCAGTTAAGTTAAAAGGAGCTAAAACTGAAAATGCAGACAAAATAGTCAAGTAATGATTTAGTTTAAATGAAGTCTAAAATGCTGACAAACTAATTTGTGTTACACCATTTTTCAACGGAAACATAGAAACTATCTTCTAGTGAGTACTTCAAACCAATACCATGTGTACTTGAAAGAAACTGACATTAACTGGCACTTTAAAGCACCAGTAGGTAATTACTATACAAGAATAAAGCAAGTTGAAAACTCTTCCATCTCTATTCATGTTTAGTATACCTAAGTGTTCAATTTTACATGTTAAAGTGGACAGAAGCTTTTGACAAATTACAGCTGCCCTGATTCAGACATTCTTTACAAATTAGCAAACTCAGCAATTTCAAACTTTGTATTATATATACAATGTAGTTCACATCACTTGCTATATTGTTTTCAGTAAGAGAATTAAAGCAATTCAAAATGTTAAACCAAGTTTAATGAGTGGCTGGCTGCATAAATCCATTAACTCTGAATATTTGCTTGTTTTATACAAATTGTTCAATAAACTATAATTTTCATAACATAAATTTTCATACTAGATAACTTACAACTGTGTCCACACTTTTTTTTTTTCAAGCAATATTTCATAAGAATATTCACAAGAATATCCACATTATAAAATGCTATTGTTTTTGTCAATATTTATAGTTAGTTTATACAAATTTATTTTAGTTTGATTGTGTTGGAAGATATAAGATTACTGAAACACTCTCAAATTCGTCCCTGAAACCAACCAATAAGCAATGAATGTTAAGTGCTCAAGGAAACTATGGCTTGCATGTGATGGGGTTTAAACCCATAGGACCAGCAATCCTTAAATCACTAGCCTGACACATTAGCCACTCAGCCATATCTATATTTTCATTCTTATTGTGTTGGAAGCTATAAGCTTACTGAAAAATCTCAAATCCATCCCTGAAACCAACCAATAAGCATTGAATGTAAAGTTTCTTGCTCAAGGAAACAAAGACTTGCCACTGACTGAGAATTTGTTAATTGTAGACTAATCCACTTTTAATATCTTAAAATTTTGCTAACTCATCTGCAACTTTATTATAATATTCTATTATATTATGATGATATTATCAATATAAGATAGAAGTTTCTCCATAAAATCTTACCTTATGACTTTGGCAAAAAACTTGCAAGCCAATTTGGATTTATTGGTGATATTGTTGAAGGCATATTGCATTTGTGTCAAACCACACCCTATTATGCTGAAATAAAAATTATTTCTTATGAAAGTGTTTGTGTTTACATGTACATTGGTCATGTACTTGCATTATTTGCCGTAGTTATAACCTGGTACTGAGTTACTATTGCACAATAAGGGCTATTTTGGTTTATTTTGGCCTCTTTTTGGTAAATTAAGTGGATTTTTAGTGCAGTTTGCAATGTAAAAATTATTTTCATTGTTCACTTCACAATGCTTTACTTTTAAATACATTTTCAAAATAAATTTTCATAAAAATTATCATGAATCTGGAGCCATGCTACTTTAAATATGATATACCCACACATAAACACACAAATCCTTAATTACCTAATAATCCCTGAGAAATGAAACATTTCTGCTATAATGTACGACTGATAAGCAAAGCCGAATATGATAATCGGTTCAACAACCTTCACATTGTTAGTGAACCTGGTGAGGAACGATGATGAAAGTCCCGTTGCAACGCCGATAAATATCCCACCAAAGACAACAACTAGAAACTTTACTATACCAAGCACTATCTGAAATAATAAACACAGACAATGTTTCAGAAAAATTTCTATATTTTTTTATTATGCATTCTGCAATGATGGAACAATGTTTAAAAGACAGTGCCATTTGAATACTTTGAACATGTTAAATTGTAATTTTTGTTGGACATTCCAAAGATTTTATGGTGTTTTAATTTCAGGCTTTATCAGTAGAGGAAGACACCAAATATCCCTTTGTTAACTATCTTATGGGCAACTTCTGCAGACAGTATTTGCCCTAATAATATGTCAAATCATTTTATTTGTTAAGTTGACAATTTTTTTACATTTAATGATTTTTAAAAAAAAATTCATAACAATCAAAACAAATATGGTGTGGTTGGTGGGTTGCTTTTAAAATAACCTTTTACACAGGTGTGACTGTAACATGATCATCTGTTATTTTTAGCTTACCTGATCAGCTTCTATTGTATCCATTCTACTGTAAATCTGCATGACATTATATAAAACTACAGTTACACCATCATTTAAAAGTGACTCTCCAAACACCAGAAAATACAGCATATTGTTCACGCCCACTTCTTGGAATATTGCCAATACCTAAAAGAATAACAAGAGTTCCCCTGAGATGGAAAAACGCAAACCCACTGGCAAATTCTACAGATGGTATCAATGACAAAAATTAGCCATCAAAATAGGATGGAAAATAAATTTTTGTAAATAGCAAAAATGCTGTAAATATCCACTGAATAATAAACAAGAGGGCCATGATGGCCCTAGATCGCTCACCTGACTTATCAAACTCATCCAAACAATTACCTAGACAAGCATTCTGACCAAGTCTCATGACAGGTGAGTCAAAAATGTGACCACTACAGTGTTAACAAGGATTATCCATATTTGAGCAGTGCGACCTAGTTTTTTACCCAGGTGACACATATTCAAACTTGACCTAGAAATCATCAAAACAAACTTTCAGACCAATTTCCAGGATTACTTGGATCAAAACAGTAGCAACTAGAGTGTTAACAAGATTTTTCTATTTTAGCTCCGGTGACCTAGTTTCACATGCGATTTCGAACTCATCAAAGCAATTACCTAGACAAGCATCCTGACCAAGTTTGATGATAATTGAGTCTAAAATGTGACCACTAGAATGTTAACAAGGTTTTTCCATATTTGGCGGTTTGGCGTGTGACCAAGTTTTTCATCCAAGATGACCCATGTTCGATCTTGACTTAGAAATCATCAAAACAAACTTTCAGACCAAATTAACAGAATATTTGGATCACAACAGTAGCCACTAGAGTGTTAACAAAGATTTTCTATTTTTAGCTCCTGTGACCTAGTTTTTTCATCCGAGATGTCCCATGTTCGATTTATTCCCAGCAAAGACCTAGACAAGTTTCCTGACCAAGTTTGATGATGATTGAGTCAAAATTGTGACCACTACAGTGTTAACAAGGTTTTTCTATTTTTAGCTCCTGTGACCTAGTTTTCATCCGAGATGACCCATGTTCGAACTCATCCGAGCATCACCTAGACAAGCATCTTGATGAAGTTTGATGATGATTGATGCAAAAATGTGACTGCTAGAGTGTTAACAAGGTTTTTCTATTTTTAGCTCCGGTGACCTACTTTTTCATCCGAGATGACCCATGTTCAAACTCATCCGAGCTATCACCTAGACAAACATCTTGACCAAGTTTGATGATGACTGATGCAAAAATATGACCGCTAGAGTGTTAACAAGGTTTTTCTATTTTTAGCTCCGGTGACCTACTTTTCATCCGAGATGACCCATGTTCAAACTCATCCGAGCTATCACCTAGACAAGCATCTTGACCAAGTTTGATGATGATTGATGCAAAAATGTGACCGCTAGAGTGTTAACAAGGTTTTTCTATTTTTAGCTCCGATGACCTACTTTTTCATCCGAGATGAACCATGTTCGAACTCATCCAAGCTATCAACTAGATAAGCATCCTGACCAAGTTTGATGATGATTGATGCAAAAAATGTGGACTGCTAGAGTGTTAACAAGGTTTTTTCTATTTTTAGCTCGCAGACCTAGTTTTTCATCCGAGATGACCCATGTTCTAACCGCATCCAACCAATTATCTAAACAAGCATCCTGACAATGTTTGATGATGATTGGGTCTAAAATGTGACCACTAGAGTGTTCACAAGGTTTTTCTATTTTAGCTCCTGTGACCTAGTTTTTCATCAGAGATGACCCATGTTCGAACTCATCCAAGCAAATTGACTAGACAAGCATTCTGACCAAAGTTTGATGATGATTGGTTAAAAAAAATGTGACCACTAGAGTGTTCACAAGGTTTTCTATTTATAGCTCCTGTGACCTAGTTTTTCATCCGAGATGACCCATGTTCGAGCTCATCCGAGCTATCACCTAGACAAACATCCTGACCAAGTTTGATGATGATTGGGTCAAAAATGTGACCGCTAGAGTGGTCACAAGGTTTTTCTATTTTTAGCTCTTGTGACCTAGTTTTACATCCGAGATGAGCCATGTTCGAACTCATCTGAGTTTGCAACTAGATAAGCATCCTGACAAAGTTTGATGATGATTGAGGCAAAAATGCGACCCCTAGAGTGTTCACAAGCAATTGTGGACGGACGACGGACATTCACCGATCCTAAAAGCTCACCCTGAGCAAGCTCAGGTGAGCTAAAAAAAACTTGCAAATTTATTGTTGTAAATAGCAAAAATGCTGTAAATATTCATTGCATCAAAAAAAATGCTTTATTTGTGAGTTTTGTTACATGTATTAAAAACAAAACTTGAATGAGTCATATGTTCTTGTAAAATGGATATTTTTATTGTCCTTGTCATCTGATGCTGAAAGGTCAAGGTAATCCACACTTACAATATTGTATTCAATTGTTACAGACATGTTATTTGTGTACACAATTTTACAGACTAATCACATATAATATTCAAATTTGTTTTGAAGCTGCTGATATAGCCGTGCAGTTAATGAGAATGACTTGTAACCTTAGGATTGCTGGCCACATGAGTTTAAACCTTATCAGGCATCGAAAAATATTTTCAGAGTCACTCGTCCTGCAGGATGAGTAGCTTCTAAGTCCAATTTGCACGCAACAGTTTTCTACTTGCCCTGCGTCGAGTTCTCTTAAATTCTAACAGTAAGAACGAATGGACAAGTGGAATTTTTTATCTCTACCTACTACCTATCAAAGGTAAGCTGTTATTTCCTTGAGCAAGAATTATTTCACTAATTGCTTAATACTGGATAATTTCAGGAGTGGATTGGAGAATGTGTCTATAAGATTACTTGAGTTTCCTTCACAATCAAACAAAACTAAAATTCTGTAATAAAGAATAATAAGCATCAAAGGAGACAAATTTTTTTTAACAAATGGAAGAAAAACTGTCCTGCCACAGGCTCAAACTTAAGAACTTTTTCCTGTTTCTCAATTTTCTGCTTTTTACACCAATCTTAGTTTTTCTGCATTTTATACCAATCGTAACACATTATTTGATCAAATCTCAATGGACAATCCACCTTACACCAGCATTCCTGGATAATTTACCAGTTATTACTGATTTCTCACCAACTGCAAACATCACATGATTTCTGACTCAGCTGTGACAGACAAATGACTATTAGACTCAATATTCTGGGAAAATCTGTAACAGAGAAATTTTGCCTTGCCATAGGATCAAACAAGCGACCCCCGGATGACTACACCTATTTCCTGAGAGGCACCAGATTGAGTGCCGGTATTTATACCATCTTAAGCAACCATAATAACAGAACAATTATACAAGAACTCAAACTTACAGCCACAGGATCCACAGCTACTATAAGGGCACTGAACACAAGTATCTGTACAGGAGTTGCCTGTGGGTCCTCCATAGCACCTACTTTAGCCAACCCAACAAGGCTCATACCTGAAAAAAAAATTTGAATTCTTTGCATTGAAACAAGTTTTCTCGAGACTGAAAATATGTTCTTCAGATTTTAATATTTCAAAAATTCCATTTAATATTAAGGATATTTCAGTGTTCTACAAAAATGTTTTACCTGTACTTCTAAATGCTAAAATCGATAAAAACTAGAACTATCACTTAATGTGATTAATACCCCCACAAGTCTGCTTCGGAAATGAGGATGTTACTAGTAACAGAATACCTTGTAATAGAATTGAAACATAGAGTTTGTTAGAGGTTGTGGGCAATTAAAGATAATTGTGGTTCATGTATGTTGCATTCCTTTCAATGTGGTTGGCTATTGATGAAGTTTAATTGAATTACTCTGTAATAAGTCCAGAAAGACAAAGAAAAAGAACAAAGGGCAATTGTATGAAGTTGTTTTGAATTCCAACCAGTACGTTTTAAGTTATGCTCCGGACAAGGAAAAGTATCAAAGGGCAGTAACTCTTTTGTCAAAATGGAGTTATGGCTCTTGTGCACTGCACTTCCTTTTAATGTCCTTGACAACTGTATGAAGTTGTACTGAATTCCAAACAGTAGTTTTTCAAGTTATGCTCTGGACAAGGAAAAGTAACAAAGGGGAAATAAACTCTGTAATTAGTCAAGATAGGAGTTATGGTTTCTTGTGCACTGCACTTCCCCTTATTGTGCTTGACCATTGTATGAAGTTGTTTTGAATTCCAACCAGTAGTTTTCAAGTCATGCTCTGGACAAGGAAAAGTAACAAAGGCAGTAACTCTGTAATTAGTCAAGATGGAGTTATGGTTCTTATGCACTGCACTTCCTCTCAATGTGCTTGACCATTGTATGAAGTTATAATGAATTCCAACAATAAGTCTTCAAGTTATGGTCCGGACAAAAGAAAGCAATGGAAAAGTAACAAAGGGCAATAACTCTGTAATTAGTCAAGATGGAGTTATGGTTCTTGTGCACTGCACTTCCCCTTATTGTGCTTGGCCATTGTATGAAGTTGTTTTGAATTCCAACCAGTAATTTTAAAGTCATGCTCTGGACAAGGAAAAGAAACAAAGGGCAGTAACTCTGTAATAAGTTAAAATGGAGTTACGGTTCTTGTGCACTGCACTTCCTCTCAATGTGCTGGACCATTGTATGAAGTTATAATGAATTGCAACAACTAGTCTTCAAGTTATGGTCCGGACAAAAGAAAGCAATGGAAAAGTAATAAAGGGCAATAACTCTGTAATTACTTTAGATAGAGTTATGGTTCTTATGCACTGCACTTCCTCTCAATGTGCTTGACCATTGTATGTAGTAATATTGAATTCCAACCATAAGTCTTCAAGTTATGGTCCGGACAAAAAATAAAAGGCAATGGAAAAGCAACAAAGGGCAATAACTCTGTAATTACTTTAGATAGAGTTATGGTTCTTGTGCACTGCACTTCCCCTTATTGTGTTTGACAATTGTATGAAGTTGTTTTGAATTCCAACCAGTAGTTTTCAAGTTATGCCACGGACAAGGAAAAGTAACAAAGGGCAATAACTCTGTAATTACTTTAGATAGAGTAATGGTTCTTGTGCACTGCACTTCCCCTTATTGTGTTTGACAAGTGTATGAAGTTGTTTTGAATTCCAACCAGTAGTTTTCAAGTTATGTCCCAGACAAGGAAAAGTAACAAAGGGCAATAACTCTGTAATTAGTCAAGTTATGGTCCGGACAAAAAATAGAAGGCAATGGAAAAGCAACAAAGGGCAATAACTCTGTAATTACTTTAGATAGAGTTATGGTTCTTGTGCACTGCACTTCCTCTCAATGTGCTTGACCATTGTATGTAGTTATATTGAATTCCAACCATTAGTTTTCAAGTTATGCTCCGAACAAGGAAAATGCAACGGACGTCTGGACCGACCGACTGACCGACCACCGGGTGACTCCTATATACCCCCCCAAACTTCGTTTTTGGGGGTATAATAATGTATAAAATACATTAACTTTTAGGCATTTTTCTTCTTCAAGATTTAAGACTGTTTTTTTTTTGGTTGGGTTTAACGTCACACCTGAACATTGTACAGGTCATAATTGGTGACTTTCCAGCTTTACTGACATTCCTTGCATAGTCAAAAGAACGTGGTCTTTAGCAAGATCCAAGGTTTTCTTAAAATACTCTCAAAATTAAGTTATTACATGTATATATAAACAAAGACTAAATGTTGACAATATTCAATATTTGTAATTATAATTCTAACACCTTACATTCATGCTCATGTAATATACTTGAAATAAATTTCATGAAAAAAATGTTAAAAACATGCTATTAGTAACTTTTTCCCCCATAAATAAAATGCATTCAACACTTTTTTATTCCTGTGTGATCCAAAATTCACCTAGAAACCAAACTTATATAATCTCAAAATTTACAAAAACCATTTCAGGGTTTTCATTATTGACAGATTGGCGATCCATATTATCTAATGAAATGCTGTTTGAATTTCCAGCCTGAAGATTAAAATATTTCACTTGATCTTTAGCTAAATCGGTTGTTTTCTTTGGCATCTCAGATAACTCAGATAAAATGAAAACCCTGCATTTCTTAATTAACATGGCAACAATATCGAGTGTTTTTCCTTGAGACGTTTTGTTATTAAAATACTCACCTATAGCAAAGCATGCAATCACTGTGCCCTAAAACAAACAAAAACATGCGGTTGATCAAACAAAATCATGCTATTCATTAAACATATTAAATTATTTATTGAGTTTAGGGTAATGCATTCATTTCTACAAAGTTCTGAAAATTCATACATTTGTATTTCACCATATCAGGCATTCATAATATTACAAATTCTGATATGACCCGAACTTTTTCGAGGGACCAAAAGTGTGTGTAAATATGCAATAAAATCACTGTTGATGATCTATTTTTAGACATGTGACTTTACCATTAAAAATGTGACACGCTGAAAATAAGTATGGAAACAAATCAGGCACAGTTTAGCTCAATGATATCAGGTACAGCAGCATCTATTTGCTGAAGTCGTGTTTAAAAATCAAAATAATATATCCCAAGCAGTGATTTTATCGCTTGGAATGATCTGAAATTTTGCACACAAGTATTAAGTCTAGACCTACATCAAATGGCACACATTAGTCTCGATAAAGAAATATTTCCAGTCCCTTCATATTAAAAGACCTCAGTGGAGTCCCTTTAAACATGAACTTCAGTCTTGCAGGAAAGCTTTTAAAACATCAAAATCTAAACTTTACATTATTGTTAGAAGTCTAGACAGTTGTATAGATAATTAATTAAATATAAAACATGTCAATATAACTATGTTTTAGTTTAAGCAGATCTCTATGTTAAGTTTGAATTGACAGCATAAAAGCTCTCTCAACTTATTTAAATCAACCCATATCCTAGTCTGCAAGCATCCTATTGGTGAGACAAAAAAAATCATTTGTTTTTACTTCACTAAGGTTTAAAAGCCTAAAAACATAAGAAAAATTCTTACATAGATCAGCTTGGGCATTTAAAACAGAACAATATACAAAAGGTTATAAAATAAATTGATAATGTTTGTGCTATTCTTAGACTGAGATTTGAGTGAAAGGCATTGCAACACTTTTCACATTTAATTAAAATTATAATTATTATTTTGGAAACAATGATCTGAAATTTTGCACACAAGTTATCATTCTAGACCTACATCAAATGGAACAATCATCTCGAAAAAAACAAGATATGTTTGTAAAACATGTATGCCCCCTATCTGCAGCCAATTAGTCATGTGATAAGGTTATTATGCATGACTTCTGACCCAGTGATCAAACAATTAATAAGGGTTATCAAGTATCTACTGGTCATGACCTTAACCTTTGACCCCTTGACCCAAAACTCAATAGGGGTCATCTGCTGGTCACGACCAATCATCATACAAAGTTTGAAGTTCCTAGGCCTAAGCGTTTTTAGTTAATTGATCGGAAACAGTTTTTTACCTACAAGGTCAATGTGACCTTGACCTTTGACCCCTTTGACCCAAAATCAATAGGTCATCTGCTGGTCATGACCAATCACCATACCAAGTTTGAAGTTCTTTAGGCCTAAGGGTTCTTTAGTTATTGATCGGAAACCGTTTTAACATACAAGGTCAATGTGACCTTGACCTTTGACCCCAAAATCAATAGGGGTCATCTGCTGTCATGACCAATCACCATGCCAAGTTTGAAGTTCCTAAACCGAAGCGTTCTTTAGTTATTGATCAGAAACCGTTTTTACTTACAATGTCAATGTGACCTTGACTTTTGACCCCTTGATCCCAAATCAATAGGGGTAATCTGCTGGTCATGACAAATCACCATACCAAGTTTGAAGTTCCTAGGCCTAAGCGTTCTTAAGTTTTTGATCAGAAACCGTTTTTACTTACAAGGTCAATGTGACCTTGACCTTTGACCCCTTGACCCCAAAATCAATAGGGGTCATCTACTGATCATGACCAATCACCATACCAAGTTTGAAGTTCCTAGGCCTTAAGGTTCTTTAGTTATTGATCGGAAACCGTTTTTGCTTACAAGGTCAATGTGACCTTGACCTTTGACCCCTTGACCCCAAAATCAATAGGGGTCATCTACTGGTCATGACCAATCACCATACCAAGTTTGAAGTTCCTAGGCCTAAGGGTTCTTTAGTTATCACTCGGAAACCATTTGGTCTACGGACCGACGGACCGACGGACCGACAGACCGACGGACCGACAAGTGCAAAGCAATATACCCCCTTTTCTTCAAAATGGGGGCATAATTATTTCCAGTCCCATCTTGTCAAAAATCCTCAGTGGAGTGCCTTTAAGGTAAAATTTTACGCCTGAATAGCTTACAGTACAGACCATGATCATGGCTAGATTTAGATTCCACCGGCAAGGTAAATGTATTGGCAGATATGTTTTTATTTGTTTGGGTCGTCAGACCAAACAAATAATGGTAGCGAAATTTCAGAGTCTAATGTTGTTAATTGCAAATGCCGAAAGTAGTCCACTTTTTTGAAGCGGTTACTTCCCTTTATATGTAACACTAACGTCGAAAAATTCAGGGGAGATCACTGCGTAAAGATGGTCAAAGACAGGCACATCTATATTCAAGCAAAATAATTCCCGAATAATAGAATATTTCTAATATTGTTTTATTGTATTTTCTGATCGAAAATAAGTTAATACAAAGCCGACATTCAATCTCTGACACAGAAGTTTATGACAAACCTAACAACAAGTAGTTCTCAAAACAGCTTTAAACTAGCGATTTAAAAGAAAGAAATATTTTTATTTTGTTACAAGTATCAAACAAATTACAACGCATTAAAAGTTTAAAAATAGCGTCGGCTTATAGAATTGTCAATAAATGCACAATCACAAATTACGCAGATGAATATGATTTTATCAATGAAAATACTATTATTAGCGATGTCTATTACCGAATACAGTAAACTTCACTTATAGCGAACACGGATATAGCGAACTTCCGGTTCCCGGGTGTAGATTTTCCAGGGTAAGCCTGGAAGAGAGGCTGGTAAACCTTGGAAAACTATGGAAAAGCATGGAATTCCATGGAAATTCATGGAAAATTGGTATTTTTTCCATGCTATGTGGACTTTTTTTGTCCAGCCTTTTCCAGCATTGCTGGAATAGGCTGGAAATTGGCTGGACATTTGTGGTAAAAGCCTGGAAAACCATGGACTTTACTTCCATGTAGCATGGAAAGTGGAACTTAGATTTTTTTGATGCTGGAAATGTGTTAAATTTTCTCTAAGTATGCTGGAAAAAACTTGTAAAAATTACAACAAGAAATCTTACTTTATATATTCAGCACAATATTGTGAATTTACGAAGAAAATATACAATCATCATTTATTTTAATGCAAGTTACTGTAAACTAGAGGATGCTTTTGTAAAAAAGCGCATGTCTCCCCCATTGCTGAGAATAACTGTGAATGGAAACAGGAATGGAAATGGAGATAAAAGAACAGAGTATATAAAACCAGACAACTGATATATCACTGATATATCAATAATAGTTAAATGTCCTCACTGATAAGAACTCTAGTTATCATCCGGAAATGAGAAAATGACCAATGGTCACTGTGACCTTAACCTTTGACCTACTGACCCCATAAACAAGAGGGATCATCTGCTCAATAAGACCAATCATCCTATGAAGTTTGAGGGCTGTAGGTCAAAAGGAACTCTAGTTATCATCCGGAAACGAGAAATTGACCAACGGTCAGTGTGACCTTGACCTTTGACCTACTGACCCCAAAAACAATAGGGATCATCAGCTCTATAAGACCAATCATCCTATGAAGTTTGAGGGCTGTAGGTCAAAAGGAACTCTAGTTATCATCCGGAAACGAGAAATTGACCAACGGTCACTGTGACCTTGACCTTTGAACTACTGACCCCAAAAACAATAGGGATCATCTGCTCAATAAGACCATTCATCCTATGAAGTTTGAGAGCTGTAGGTCAAAAGGAACTCTAGTTATCGTCCGGAAACGAAGAATGGACGGACGGACTGACTGACGGACGGACGGACTGACGGACGGACAGGGCAAAAACAATATGTCTCCCCCCGAGGTGGGGGAGACATAATGATTTGAAATTTGACAGTTTATACTTTTTATGTAGTTGAAAAAGGGTATCTCAGAAAAAAATGTCTATGCTAAAGACATAAATGAATTGATTGTTCAAAATACATATTATTATTTAAATAAATCTACATGAAGTTATGTACAATGAAATAATATCCATTTAATTACAGGCTATAAGTTTGAACTATAAATTAATTAAAGTCTGTGATTATTTAAATCATTCAGACACTATAATAATCAAGATGGGATTGCATTGCTTGCCATTTTCAAATTCTAAGAATTCATGTTTTTGGATAACAATGAATAAACTAGAGGATGCTTTTGTAAAAAAGCGCATGTCTCCCCCACTGCTGAGAATAACTGTGAATGGAAACAGGAATGGAAATGGAGATAAAAGAACAGAGTATATAAAACCAGACAACTGATATATCACTGATATATCAATAATAGTTAAATGTCCTCACTGATAAGAACTCTAGTTATCATCCGGAAATGAGAAAATGACCAATGGTCACTGTGACCTTAACCTTTGACCTACTGACCCCATAAACAAGAGGGATCATCTGCTCAATAAGACCAATCATCCTATGAAGTTTGAGGGTTGTAGGTCTAAAGGAACTCTAGTTATCATCCGGAAAGGAGAAATTAACCAACAGTCGCTGTGACCTTGACCTTTGACCTACTGACCATTAAAACAATAGGGATCATTTGATTAATAAGACCAATCATCCTATGAAGTTTGAGGGTTGTAGGTCAAAAGGAACTCTAGTTATCATCCGGAAATGAGAAATTGACCAACGGTCACTGTGACCTTGACCTTTGACCTACTGACCCCAAAAACAATAGGGATCATCTGCTCTATAAGACCAATCATCCTATGAAGTTTGAGGGCTGTAGGTCAAAAGGAACTCTAGTTATCATCCGGAAACGAGAAATTGACCAACGGTCACTGTGACCTTGACCTTTGAACTACTGACCCCAAAAACAATAGGGATCATCTGCTCAATAAGACCAATCATCCTATGAAGTTTGAGGTCTGTAGGTCTAAAGGAACTCTAGTTATCATCCGGAAACGAGAAATTGACCAACGGTCACTGTGACCTTGACCTTTGAACTACTGACCCCAAAAACAATAGGGATCATCTGCTCAATAAGACCAATCATCCTATGAAGTTTGAGGTCTGTAGGTCTAAAGGAACTCTAGTTATCATCCGGAAACGAGAAAATTGACCAACGGTCACTGTGACCTTGACCTTTGAACTACTGACCCCAAAAACAATAGGGATCATCTGCTCAATAAGACCAATCATCCTATGAAGTTTGAGGTCTGTAGGTCTAAAGGAACTCTAGTTATCATCCGGAAACGAGAAATTGACCAACGGTCAGTGTGACCTTGACCTTTGACCTACTGACCCCAAAAACAATAGGGATCATCTGCTCTATAAGACCAATCATCCTATGAAGTTTGAGGGCTGTAGGTCAAAAGGAACTCTAGTTATCATCCGGAAACGAGAAATTGACCAACGGTCACTGTGACCTTGACCTTTGAACTACTGACCCCAAAAACAATAGGGATCATCTGCTCAATAAGACCAATCATCCTATGAAGTTTGAGGTCTGTAGGTCTAAAGGAACTCTAGTTATCATCCGGAAACGAGAAATTGACCAACGGTCAGTGTGACCTTGACCTTTGACCTACTGACCCCAAAAAACAATAGGGATTCATCAGCTCTATAAGACCAATCATCCTATGAAGTTTGAGGGCTGTAGGTCAAAAGGAACTCGAGTTATCATCCGGAAACGAGAAATTGACCAACGGTCACTGTGACCTTGACCTTTGACCTACTGACCCCAAAAACAATAGGGATCATCTGCTCAATAAGACCATTCATCCTATGAAGTTTGAGAGCTGTAGGTCAAAAGGAACTCTAGTTATCGTCCGGAAACGAGAAATTGACCAACGGTCACTGTGACCTTGACCTTTGACCTACTGACCCCAAAAACAATAGGGATCATCTGCTCAATAAGACCATTCATCCTATGAAGTTTGAGAGCTGTAGGTCAAAAGGAACTCTAGTTATAGTCCGGAAACGAGAAATTGACCAACGGTCACTGTGACCTTGACCTTTGACCTACTGACCCCAAAAACAATAGGGATCATCTGCTCAATAAGACCATTCATCCTATGAAGTTTGAGAGCTGTAGGTCAAAAGGAACTCTAGTTATCGTCCGGAAACGAGAAATTGACCAACGGTCACTGTGACCTTGACCTTTGACCTACTGACCCCAAAAACAATAGGGATCATCTGCTCAATAAGACCATTCATCCTATGAAGTTTGAGAGCTGTAGGTCAAAAGGAACTCTAGTTATCGTCCGGAAACGAAGAATGGACGGACGGACGGACTGACGGACGGACGGACGGACGGACTGACGGACGGACAGGGCAAAAACAATATGTCTCCCCCCGAGGTGGGGGAGACATAATAAATAAACAAAACAAAGAATCTCATATATATTCTATATTAAATTGATCAATATTTAGGAAAAATAAATACTACAACCACTGAGATTTTACGCTACACAGATCAGAGCTCTGATAAAACTCATTGACCAGCATTTTCTCACCATCTGGGCATGACTAATTTACTCCACTGGTCATTCCAACAGATCAGGCTGTTCCATGTGATTATTTTGGGGAGAGATAACATTATAAATTTCATATGCAGAATGTGTCTAGAAGGACATTGCAATCTTTAATGTACAAAAATTTGTAATGATATTTAAAAATCTATATCTATTAGCTATTTGATATTTTCTTTTATGCTCAAAGAATAAAAGTTAAAATGATGAGTAGATTTAAACCCTGCTTTACATAATGATAGACCTGTCCAGTAACTGTTGTAAATTTTGAATTCTAAGATATCTGGGTCAGCAAGGAGTGCAAATTTACAGAGGATGTACTTGATATTTTAGCAGTTTTGGAGATATTGTTTTGTTTAAGACTTTAAAGTGTTTAAGTATTGGTATGATAACAATCAGAATCACCTGGGACAAAGAGATATACAACAGAATCAGGTATTTATAAACCTTAAGTTACAACAATACAGAAACAGGTTATATATCAAACTATCAACATTTGTAACAAAAGATCAAGGTTGATTTTATATTTTCAACTTCATGCATTTGTTTTTCTGATAATTGTTTTTAATCTATATATGTATAATCTGTAAAATATAAATTACTCAATGATTTTTTTATAATGTATATTGTTAAAAAGACATTTGTTAGTACAGATCTTTTTCATTTCCTACAAATAAAACAAATTAAATCAATTTGATTAAATAGGACTAAATGGTACAATCAATAGTTTTGTACAACTGAACAGGGTCATCATAATCATTTGTAATTTTACATGTATGTGTTGTGTTTTCAATGGAACAATCTAAATATACAATTACATAACTTGCAGGCTGGGACATAAAGTGCTGACTGTGAGAATTACCAACAGTGTTTAATAATGATGTGCAGTATTAATCCTGAAAAGGTATATTTTTAAATCTCAATACTTTTTTATTCCATGTCTTTTCTTGAAAAAATACATACTGGGTGATAAATTTTGTCACAAATTTACTTAATTCTTATACATGTACAGAGAAATTCTTAAACACTTGTGCACTTTGAAATAAGATATACTGCATTGTTTTAGTATTTTTGAATATGCATAAGCATAGTTAATATTTAATAGTTAATACTGTTGAAACATTAGATTTGATGTTATCAAAAAGATACGAAATATAACTGCCTAATATTTATATGCAATACAAACATAAGTCATTACCACATCTGTGTTAAATTTATTATGAATTTTATCTTTAAAGGTGAGCACAACCACAAGAAGTTCTAGGAAACACATTAGGCAGAGGACTGAAAATGGACATCAATAAAAAAAATAGTAATTTAAATAACCAGAAACACTTGAAACAAATTTAAGATTAAAGCAGTTTTCTCATTGACAAATTAAGAGCAAAATAATTGCTAAAAGCAAAGTGTTGGATTTATAAGACAACCAGAACCTACCAAACCTGCAGCTGGAAAAAAACTGTTTGTGCTATAGTGAATGTAGGATGTTCTATTCTGTATTTGGACTAAAGGATATGTATTAAAATTTTGTGAAAGAAATATGTGATCATGTTAAACTAATAAAATTCCACCCAAACATTCCTGTGCTGAATTCCGTCAGAGAATTTTACATTTTAAGAACATTCAGGGATGCTGGAATTAGGCTGGATTTTTTTCCATGTTATTCCATCAAGGCTGGACTATTTTTCCATGGTAAAAAAAAGTCCAGCCTCTATGGTTGGCAGACACATGGAATACCCTGGAAAAAAATCCATACTTTTGTTCCAATACTCCATGTACATGGAAAAGCATGGAATAAATTCCATGCTTTTCCATGGAAAACATGGAAAATATTCCATGCAGCATGGAAAATGTTCCATGTTTTTTCCCTGTTTTTCCAGCCCAATTTTTCTCAGCTTCAGGCTGGAAAAGGCTGGAAAATTTTGTTCCAATACTCCAGCCTCTTATTTTCCATGGAAATCCCTGGAAAAGCATGGACTTTTTACACCCGGGTTATAAGGAACAATTTATTTTGGCCGGAATTTTGCCCTTCTTTATTTAATATAAAAATATACGGTTACAGCGAACACGGTTATAAGGAATTATCGCTTATAAGGAACTCATTTCTTAGTCCCAATTTAGTTAAATGTACCGAAAATTACTCTTTTATAACGAACTTCAAAATTTCGGCTATCTGTAAATATCAAATTTCGTTTTCATTGGCAGGGGTTAAAATTCGGTCAAATGCACAGTACTTAAATATATTTATGAAAACGAATTTGTATAGCAGTCCGTAATAGTTTTCTATTTAGGATATTAATAGCATAAGTTTTTGTCACCAAGGTAAAATGGTTATTCCTTTTATTCTATTATTTTCTTTCTTTAATAGTTTTGCTTATGATAATTTATAGTCGGTTTTCAACATAATCACGCACGTTTGCAAGCATAATCCATTGAAAACTACAAAGTACGCTTGATTGAAATGAAAAGAAATCTACATCTTTCATTAGTAAAAGTCACCCTTAAAATATAATAGAAGATCTTCAATATAAAAGGAAGGAAAAATCGAAAATCTTGTTTACTCTTAATCATGGAAAGAAAACGAAAAGCACTGAGTTTAGAAACAATATATGATATTCTATGAGAAAGGGAGTAGAACTAAAACTGGCACAGCAAACAATTTTCAATATCCAAAAAGTACGCTCATGGATATTGTGTCTAAAATGAAAAAATGACTATTTTTTTCTTAATCAAATGCTCTTTCAAATGGCAGACGACGGTAAACAATCAGTTCGTTATATGTAAATCTGTTCGCTATACAAACTCCTGATACAAGGAACTAATTCGCTATATGCTTACAAGGAACTCCGGATATAAGGAACATATATTGAATGTCCCAATGAGTTCGTTATAAGCGGAGTTTACTGTACTACACAAACCAAGTAGTGGAATATATAGATTCTACATGTCGGACTGTTTGTGCGAGAAGATTTTCGCTAAATTATTTACTTCAATTTTAAACAACAGGTTTATCCTGAACAAAATACCTCGAAATTAATAAGGATTACAAACCCGAAATGCAATGGAAGTTCTAAATTTAGAATGACTTGATGTTATTCAGTCATTATTTGTATAACTTCTCCGTGGTACAGGGGTAACGCACTCGCTTAGTGAGTGAGAGGTCTGGAGTTCAAATCCCAGCCGAGGAAACTTTTTTTTTTAATTCTTTTTTAAGTGTCATGATATGCAAGATCATGCAAGGATAAAGTGTGGCTGTCGTAAAAAATATACATAAATGATTTATTGATGCAACTCTAGTTATGTAGAATTCCGTAGGTATCAAACTCTGGTGTCTAGCAAAATGAATTATAATACATAAAAATAAACTTATACAGGAAAATACATACAGATATACAGTACGATTTAGATTGCAAAGATCAGAAAATACCACAGAACTTGCAGCCCTTTGATTCTTTATAAATATACATGCTTATAGTAAGCTCCAGGATTATTTACATCTGTGTTAAACAACAGTTAAAGTCGTTACAAGCCCTAATTTAGATCGAATAATATGGTTTTCTTCAGGCCGTTCACATATAAATTCACCGTGGCTGAAGGGTTTTCACGCTCGCTTAGGAAGCGAGAGGCCTGGAGTTCAAATCCCAGTAAAGGCAACTCATTTTTTTTTTCAAATTGTTTAAGTCAAATAAACATTGGATTGAATATCAGTGTTGCAATCAGTCTTATAGCCAATTTACTACAATTAAAACGCTGGAAAGCATTGGTGAGACCCAAACAAATTCAGCGCCTTCTGTGCTTTGATTCTTTACTGCAGCAGTTTTCTGTTATGTGTTATAATTGTTATTGTTGTTGTTGTTAGTGTAAAGCCTGCATGTACATCAAGTGGGATAAATATTTCCACACTTCATGGGTAAAGGGAGATAAATCACATTTATTCAAACAAGGGTCAGTTTAATAAGCTATTATTCTGCAAAGGATATCATACTGCAAACCATTAAGTCATATTATTTTCTATTAATCTAAAAATTTGCAGACTACAGCTGAGCGCATAATGATTTTCTAAACAGACAATTCTAGTATAAATTTTTGTATATATTTGATTCTGCACTTCAATAACTATACAAATTTTCACAATTCATCTATATTTAACGATTCAAGCTTTATAGACAAACATCCTCTAATTCATATATACTTGATACACAATTTTAGACAAATTATCACTTTTCATCTATATATGACAGTTCTTCAATCACATTACATATTCTTTAGACAAATTAATGCTAATCATCTATTGTTCATTCTGCGCCTAATTAATATAAAATAAATGGTTTATAGACAAATTGTCACTATTCACCTATACTTGGTAACAATATTATGCTTTAAACAAATTGTTGCTATTCATTTATACTTTTTTTCGTTCTTTAATAACTACACATGGTTTATAGGCAAAGTATCACTGTTTTTTATTTCGGTACATGCTTTATGCATGAAGAAAAATTATCACTTTACATCTATTATACGATTCTGAACACTATGTGTTATAAAGACAAATCATCGTTCTTTACCTATACTTGATTCTGCAATTCAATTACTATACATTTTTGTTACATTGATTTCTTTCTAAATACCAATCAATATAAATACCAATGTTACATCCCAGAAATCTCCAGTGATAATAGCCAAGTTAAAGCACTCAGAAAATAATCTTTCTAGATTGAATGAAAGAACAAAGGCTCACGCTTCACAAGAAATCCTCTTCGAAGGAAATGCAACATCAGATTTTTCCCTAACTATTTTTGTCAATGGAAATTATTTAGTTTTTATGTTAACTTAAAACAGAATAATTATGTTATGAGGCTATAAAACTATTTAATGTCTTTAACATAATATCATATTTTTAACATCAGCATAACAGAAACAAGAGCCCCTGCAGGGAGGGGAAATGCTCAACTTTTTAGTTTTATTCTTTTTTGTCATTACTTTCAAGAACCTATACATGTATATACCTACATATGTAAAAAATATTTGAAGGATTATTGACATTTTTTTAAAGGACCTCAATTAAGATATTTCCATGATCTATATATAGATTTTTTTCAAGTTTCTATTTAAAGATATTGCAAGGATCTATATATAGATATTTTCCATGATCTATTTATAGATAATTCAAGGATCCATTTATAAATATTTCAAAGATCTATTTATAAATTTTTCAAAGATCCATTTATAGATTTTCAATGATCTATTTATAGATATTTCACAGATCTATTTATAGATTTTTTCAAGGGTCTATCTATAGATATTCAAAAACTTACCACAACAGAGAACATAATTATGCTGCCCAGATTGTCTGTAAAAGTTCTATCATGTAAACTAAATGCTGCCTCAAGTATAATTCTGAAACAATGTGAAAATTAAGTTATAATAGATCCTGTAGAAGAGTATCTCATCAAAAAGGAAGAATTATGTGAATTGCCCTAAAAGATCAATTACTATAGAACTAAGTATTGTCATAAGAATAATCAAGAATTTCCCAGCTAATCAGTGGGTACTTAACAAGTTTATTTACATTTACAACTTAGTGGTGTTGCACTAATTAATAGTAAATATATAAAAAATAGGCATTATATGTTCATCACACTATTGAAAATCTTGCCCCATGAAGATATCATGGCATAAGCTTGTTTGTAACCCAATTTATGCTTGGAAAAAACATACATATAATGCTGAGTTTTCAGCTATTATTAACTCTTTGTCTGGCTGCACTTCTGTTGATAATTTGAGTTGCAAATATTATAACAGCAAAACAAGTTGGCACTAACTTTGAAAATAAAATAATGATAATAAAAAAAATCCTACAGTAAATTAACTTTGTGAAAAATTACAATGGAGTGCAGTTTATACTTGCATTGAAATTTACACTGTCATTTAAATTTTAAAGTTAAGTTTAAATCTAATATATATGAAATATTATTAATATAATACTTACGGGGGTAAAAGATACAGGAAAAACTGATCTGGCTGAAAGAACTGTTCTAAGTCATCTCCTGTCCCAGCAAGCCTTCAATTTTAAAAAAGATTTTATTGGAAATTATCACAAAACATGGTTATATTCATTTTTGTCATTTTCAAATAAAACTGTAAAACTGGGCAATTTTTTTTCTTTTCCTTCGGTCTTCAGGCATAAAAGGCACCTGAATAGAAACACTGTCCTTTGTCTCATTCCATAAACCGGTTGGATAGCTTCCTAACTTGAAAGAATTCTTTGGTGGGATTCAAACCAACAGCTGTATAGAGGCAAGTGGTTTGAAGTTAAGGAGCTCAACTGCTCACCCATGGTTGCCTCTTAATATAATCTAATTGAAAGAAGAGAACCTCTGGTGCCTCTCAACAAATAATTTCAGGCAATAGTGAGAACCCGAGTAGAACCATGATCTTCCATGAGGCAGTAAGAGCACTTCCTTATACATAAAAGAGTTTGAAGTCCCAGAAAGAAAGAAATAGTGTGGGGCAAAATGAATTAAAGTGAAAAACTTCAACGGCTTTGGCACAGAAGTCCTTGTTTTTCTGTAGTTGCTTGTTTATATGAAATGTCACAAATGCACAAATACTTAATACACTGCATTAAAATATTCTAGTGAAATAGAAAAGTTTTCCCATCTGCTTAAACAGGAATGTTTCAATTACATAGTAAATTGACAGATTGTACATTATTTATAATATATCTTTGCCAGTAAAATTTTTGTTGTTTTGTTCTCATAAATAAGTAAACATTAGGTTATATAAATCAATACTTACAGAAATATTGCACCAAATATTACACCAAGAATGATCAAAATACTGAAAAAAGAAAACAATTTTTTTTCTTCACTATTTGCTTTTACACAAAACCAACAAACAATGCCTGAAAATGTAAAATGGACTTGTCCTGCTTTTGAATTTGGAAGATTCCAATGTTAATTTAAGGGAGTTTACTACCAAAATTATTCAAAATCATACATTAACCCTTATTAACCTGCTGAATTTGTATAATGGACTCACCCAGCTTTAAATCTGGAACAGTCCATTCAAAGTTTAAGGGATTTCAATATTAAAATACAAAAATTGAGTTATCGGCAGTATTGAACCTGGTCAGAATGCATTTTTGTCCATGCTTTAGCCTGGCTTTATACTTAGTGGCATTTTAAGGGTAAACCACTCTCCATGCCTGGAGCCGGCTATAAGGCTTATGTTAGTAGGTGAATATCTGATCTATAAGCTGCAACTTACTGAGTGAAGTAAATTATTATATTATAAAGCATTCTGTCTTTGGTTACTCAGTTATACTATGATAAAATCAATTTTTTGACATTTTTTTTTTCTTGAATACCGTGCACAATTAACCTCATTTCAATCACAATGGAAACAGATAAAAGTTAATGTCCACATGAATAAACATGCATTAGTGACGGTAATTTTACCGTCAAATTTCATCGCAAGTCAAGCAGACGACATAGTTCCCATGACGATTGCTTCCTTTAATGATGCTTTAGTATGAATGATATAATTATTTGTTAAAAGAAACAACAACTTTAATAAGGGAAATGCAGACAAAGATTGTTAAAAAACAATTTTCCGTGATTATTGTTTACGGCTCAAATCTTTCCTGTTTTCCACCTCATTAAAGTGCATCAAATTATCAAGGACGCCAGCGCAAGAATTTCCCAACAGATTTCTGAAATAAGATTTTATTTACCTCTTAAAACACATCAGAAAACATTTTTCGCACTACAATG